AAAAATCGTAAAATCGAAGAGAAAAACTGAAAAGTCCCAAAACTAAAATTTTGAAAAAGTGAGAATTCGAAAGTTGAAACAGCAAGAAATTATGGTTGAAACCGGTTAGGATGTGTATCAGATCATGGCTTATACATCAAATCGTTTCCGAATGCTTAAAGTCGATATTCGCCTGAGTGCGCTCTGGTCTGTAGATCAAACAAGTTCTCAGACGACGAGCTGTATTTTAAGAATCTGAAAGATCCCCATTGTTTTTTTTAAGAACGTGAATCTTCGGGGGGGGGGGGGGACTGTATTTTTTTTTAAAGAAGGTGAAACCTTCTCGGGGGCTTCACTGTTTTTTTTTTAAGAATGTCGAACCTCCTCGGGGGCTCCATTGTCTTTTTTTTTGACGTGAACCTTCTCGGGGGCCCCAACTGTTTTTTTTTAAGAATGTGAAACGTTCTCGAGGGCTCGAACAATTTTTTTAAGAATCTGGAACCTCCTCGGAGACTCCATTGCTTTTTTTTTAAGAATGTGAAATCTTCCCGGGGGCCCCAACTGTTTTCTTTTAAAGAAGGTGCAACCTTCTAGAGAGCTACAGCTGGTTTTATAATAATCTGAAACCTTCTCTGGGATCCCCATTGTTTTTTTTTTAGAATGTGAACCTTCTGAGGGGCCCCAACTGGTTTTTTTTAAGAAGGTGAACCTTCTCGGGGGCCCCAACTGTTTTCTTTTAAAGAAAGTGCAACCTTCTTTTTTTTTAGAACGTGAACCTTCTGGGGGGCCCCAACTGTTTTTTTTTAAGAAGGTGAACCTTCTCGGGAGCGCCAACTGTTTTTTTTTTTTTTAAGAAGGTGTAACCTTCTCGGAAGCTACAGCTGTTTTTTTAAAGAATCTGAAACCTTCTCTGGGACCCTCATTGTTTTTTTTAAGAACGTCAACCTTCGCTGAGGCCCCGACTGTTTTTTTTTTCCTTAAAGAAGGTGAAACCTTCTCGGGGGCTCCAACTGTATTTTTAAAAATCTGGAATCTCCGCGGAGGCTCCATTGTTTTTTTAAAGAATATGAAACCTTCTCTTCGCCCCCAACTGTCTAGTTACAGCTATTTTTTTAAGAATCTGAAACCTTCTCTGGAACCCCATTGTTTTTTTTTTAAGAACGTGAACCTTCGGATGAGGCCAACTGTTTTTAACAGTCTGGAGCCTCCTCGGGGGCTCCTTTGTTTTTTTAAAGAATATGAAACCTTCCCGTAGCCCCCAACTGTCTTATTTTTTTAAGAATATGAAACCTTCTCGGGCGTCCCTACCGTCAATTTTTTTAGAGAAGGTGAAACCTTCTCGGGGGCTCCAACTGTTTTTTAAAGAATGTGAAATTTTCTCGAGGTCCCAACTGTTTTTTTTTTAAGAACGTCAAACCTTCCAGGGGGCCCAACTGTCTTTATTTTTTTAAGAGTATGAAACCTTCTCGGCAGCCCCAACTAGTTTTTTTTTAAGAATATGAAATCTTCTCAGGGTACCAATTGTCATTTTTTAAAGAATGTGAAACTTTCTCGGGAGCTCCAAATGTCTTTTTTTAAAGAACATGAAACCTTCATGTTTTCAGTCATTCCGTGAAAAAATACCTGGTGTTGCTGTTCTTGAAGCTATTTTTTTATGAATATTCAGTTATGTGAGTTATTATTTCGTGAGACTTATTGAGGAAAACAAGAAGTCGCACATTAACAAAACAATTCCCATCTCATACTCAACTTGTCAGAAAAATACTATAAAACGACTAGATCTACACATCTCGATCATCTTTAGATTATTTCTTGTTCCCCACTTTGAAGAACACTATTTAGAAACAATCAGTGGATACAACTGAAGACCCAAAAGTGACGTGTTTTGTCGGAAGCTCTTACGCGAGTATTTGAGAATATGAAACGCCAACTTAATTTATGTAATGAAACGGGGGGCCAATATTTCCAGCAATTGTTGTAACTTCAAAGTTACTTATCATAAATAAATTATTTTAAATCTAAAGAGGGTTTAAATCTTATTGACATAATATAATTAAGCTTTCTAAGTTCAGCCACATGATTTGATTTGATGTATTTTTAAGAACAAATTACGTGCTAAATTTATTAAAATTTGCTTGATCATTTGTGTTTACTTTCAAGCCGAATTTGTGCTGTCAACAAATTCTTGCGTAAGTAGATCACAAATAGAAAAAAAAATCTCCAAAGATTTTTGGTATAACTTTGGAAGTTTCACATAAAACACGCTTATTAAACGTCTTTAGTGGCATTTATGTAACAAAATGCCAAATGTGTCAAGTGTCATCAGCAGACAGTTCAGAAATGTTTCAGGACTATAGCCGTGTTTACTAGGTTATAACCTCACTTATCACACGAACGAACAAACAGCAGCAGCAAAAGAAAAAGTAATAAAGCTGGCCATTAGTTTTCAGGAGAATTGTTTGTATAAGAAAACAATTTCGGCAAACAAGATCAATAATAATAAAAGACATTCGAGTGAAAGAAAACGGACACATCAAAATCCGAAATAAGAATAATTTGAAATGACGTCACAGTTTTTTTGAGGGGTATGAATAGAAAAATTACTTACAATTTCAAAGCAAATTTTAATATACTAGTCGATCCCCACAATTACATTTCTTCAAGACGACAAATAACTATAAATCTACAAGCAAAGAATATATAAAAAGAAAACATCTCGGTTAATAGAAAAATAACCGGGTTAAATTTTCCCCCTAAGCTCTTCAATTCATAACAATCTTTCCAACGAGCTCATAAAACTCATAACCCCCGCCTTCCACAAAGTCGCTCTACTATATTGCGTATGCAATATGAATGTACATCGTCGAGACATAAAAGAGAATCAACATGTACGCGACGTAAAGTCATAAACGACGCCGAAGTACCTGCACGAGGTTGCGTCTGGACGCCGCGTACGTTGCCCTCGACCACACCCTCAGCATCCCTTATTCACTCGTAAAAAAGCTGTTTAATTAAACCGAATCAACGAATCTGTGACACGGGATTAATCGACACAGTCATTCCTTGTACAAATATGGTAAAAAACTCTTTTAATTAATAATTAACACCACATTAAAGAGCTAACTCCACAGTCAACACTGTTTCCATCTCGTTAATTCCCTGCGGATATTAACCGAACCAATGTGCCCTTTGACGTTTTTTCTTTTACGACCTTGACCATTTAACCCCTTCACGCGATGAATTACGCAAAAGTGCAGTTAGGGGACGATTCGATCGATTTCGGTGGGGCTGGATAACGATTATTCGGTGCTCTGTAGCAGATGTGATAAAGAGCGACGTGAAATAAAGTGGAATTATAAGATTTCTGCAAATAACGTAATTTACATTATTACATGAATTTTCAAGATGTTGTTACTTGATATACATTTAAAATGAAGACCTAAGGGTAGAATCTACTTTCGACTTATAGCCACGTTTAAATATTAAACGATATACATCGGTTTTAACGGGCAGAACAGTGAAAGCACGATCAATATTGTTCTGGAAGTGGTCTACATATGTATACTAGGTGAATTAATTAATTGGGCTAGCCGCATATGATGTGAAACTGAAATTGTGGTATTGCTGAAAGTCAAATTAGCAAACAGTGGAGTATTTTTGTTAAACTAGCAAAGTCGGTGAGAATCATTAATTTTACATTGTAGAATTTATTATTGAGTGTTTTTCTTTTATCGTTATCGAACTCAGATTTTAATTGGAAATATTAAAAAGATAGTCACAAAAAGAAGATGAGGATGTAATAAATGAAAAAATTTGTGATAACCCCTAGAAAGTAAAAAGCACTCAACCACTCAAAAAAATCGAAAATCGAAACATCAAAAATTCCGGAAAGTCAGAAAGCGAAAATTGAGAAATCGAAACATACGAATGTCGAAAATTCTGATACCTATAGACAAATCGAAAAATCAATTGAGAAATCAGAAAATCGAAAGGTAAAAAAAATGAAAAATCAAAAACTGAAAAACAAAAAATTTGAAAATTCGAGAAGGAAAAAAATTGAAAAATCGAAAAATCAAAAATTCCAAAGTTCGAAAATCGAAAAAATAGAAAAATCTTCCGGAAAGTCAGAAAGCGAAAATTGAAAAACCAAAAAGTACAGAGGTTGAAAATTCTGATATCGACAAAGCGAAAATTCGGAAAATCAGAAAATCGAAAAGTAAAAAATTGAAAATTCGAAAAGTTGAAAAATAGAAATGCTGAAAATTCGAGAAATCGAAAAGTAAAAAAATTGAAAAGTCTAAAAACTGAAGAACGTGAAAATGAAAAAACCGAAAATTCGCATAATAATAATAATAAGTCAAAATAAATCAAAAATCGAAGAGTATCGAAAAACAAAAAATCGAAGATTGGAAAAATTAAAAAGCGAAAAGTAAAAAAAAAAATGACAATTGGAAAAATCGAAAATTTAAAAAATGGAAGAATTGAAAAATGGAGAAATCGGGAAATTGAAATGGAAACAAATTGAAAATTCGAACAGAGAAAAATCGAACTTTCGATGATTCAAATATTCGAAAAATTGAAAGTTGGAAAAATGGAAATTCGAAAAATCCGAAAGTCGAAAAATGGAAAAATCGAGATATGAAAAAGCGAAAAGCAAATAAATTGAAAAATCGAAAAATTGGAGAATGGAAAAATTGAAAAATCGAAAATTCAAAATTCGAAAAATCGAAAAATTAAAAAATGGAAGAATTGAAAAATTGAGAAATCGGGAAATCGAAATGGAAACAAATAGAAAATTCTAACATAGAAAAATCGAACTTTCGATGATTCAAATATTCGAAAAATCGAAAGTTGTGTTACCGCTGCCGCCACGTGGCCGCCACTGGACCGGCCCCCGTGATGCTGGCGCCGCTGGCGTGGACCGGCGCAGAGAGAAGAGGAACAGCTGAGCGGAACGACGTAAAAAAAATATGGCGTACCAGTGGTGCCTTGTATAACTTTTGTAATTCGGACACTTTTCTTTGAAATATATTATAGGGCAGCGGTGGGATAGCCCTTGTGCTTTTCTGTGAGAGTTCGGGAGTGATGTGAATGCGATGGATCGTGATAGTTACTCCAGTAGCTCGAGCTCCAGATCGAGTTCAGCGGATGGGAACTACAAGCGCAGACAGAAGCGTACTCGATCACCTTCCAAAGCGTCCCGAAACTTAAGCGCACCTGGTACGAGCCGGGGCAGCGACCATAAGTCATGTACGCCATCAAATACACCTCCGTTATCAAAATCCAACGATACTGTGAGCAGGTTAGAAGCGTTGGTGGAAAAGTTGATTAAGCACCAAACAAAGGCGAAAGACAAACACCATCGTGGAATTAGGGTTGCTATAAAACCGGAAAGTATACCCGAGTTCACGCCTGGAAATCCAAATTTGAGTTCAGCGAAATGGATCGCAAAAATCGAACAGTTGGCAAAAATTAATAACTGGGATGAGCCAACCATGATATTTTTAATGCAGAGTCGTCTAAGTGGATTAGCTCGACGCTGGTATGATAATTTATCAACATATCGACTGAGTTGGAAAGAGTGGAAGAAATTGCTCGTAAAATCCTTCCCTGAACACAGAGATTTCGCCACTACGTTACGTGCCCTCGTAAATCGGATGAAGTTGCCTACAGAATCATGGGAAAGATATTACTTTGACAAGGTAGAACTTACAAATGCTTGCGATATTAATGGACATAGAGCCGTGTCGTGTATTATTGATGGTATTGAAGATCCAAGCGTCCAAGCAGGGGCCAGAGCAGGTAGATATACGAGCCCAGACCGGCTCTACGCTGAATATATCTCTGTTCTAAAACCTGAAAAGTCCGTCTCGAGCACGACTGTAGCGAAAACTGCGTTTACAACTCCACATCGCCGTCCTTTGAGCGAAAGGGAGCGATCGAATGAGCCGCCTCCAAAAAAGGCGAAACCACCGGCTAGAAGACCCCCAAAATGCTATAACTGTAGGGATGAGGGTCACTTTGCCGATAAGTGTCCGAAACCCAAAGTGGAATGTGCCAGTTGTAAGCGGTTGGGCCACCTTACAAAAGATTGCCGCAGGCAGTCCATCAAGAATTAAGTTGTCCTTGAGAAAGACTTGGCACCCGTCAACAGTAGTTATTTTTTTGACTGCTGGGTTAATGAAACGCCCTCCCAGGCATATGTTGATTCGGGGTGCGGCGCTGTTCTAATCCGGGAAGATACCGCCAACATGCTGAACATGGAACGCAGTCCCTGCACGAAATATGTAATAGGTTACGGCGGAGTAGCCACGAAAACTCTCGGAAAACTGACCATCCGACTCAAGATAGATGGTGCAGAGGCTGAAGTTGAGAGCCTGATAGTACCCAATACTGCTCAAGAAATTCCTGTGCTGGTGGGCCAAACTTTCTTAAATCAAGATGAGATCATGATGATTGTTTCTGGACAGACCGTACGAGTTACCCGAAGAGGAAGTGACTTGTGCGAAACTCTCGATGTTCCTCCCAGGAAAATTCCTTTATGGGCAAAGGAATCAATCGTGTTAGAACCGAGAACAACGGCTCTCGTCGCCGTGACTTCTCGAGGTGCCTGTGCCGACGACGTATACGTAAGAGGTGGCTTACGACCGCTGCCTGATGGAGAACACGTCGTACACGAATGTATTACGAAGGGGGAGGATGGCTACGTCGCCATCACGAATCTTTCGTACCGGCATATCGAGGTAAGTCCCAAAACAATCTTAGTTAGGTCTGTAGTTTGTTTTGAGGAAAAGTCGTCTCCGGTGTCAAAAGTAACAACTGCATTGCCGTTAGCGACACAATCCGTTGATGTAGTCGATGTTTTCGATTTCCATAATCTGATATACAATCAACATCTCACGCCAACGCAGGTCCGTGATTTAGTTAGTTTAATAAACGAATTTAGCGATTGTTTTGCGTCAACCACTAAACATCTAGGCAAAACCGACGTGTTGAAGATGTCGATACATCTTCAGGATGACAATCCTGTGGTCTATCGGCCATATCGTCTCTCTCACAATGAACGCCAAGTTGTGAGAGACATCGTAAAAGATCTACTCGAAAATGAGATCATCCAAGAATCGGATTCGCCTTACTCGAGCCCTATAGTCCTCGTGAAGAAGAAAAACGGTGAGCAGCGTATGTGCGTCGACTACAGAGCCTTAAACGCCAAAACAGTAAAGGACAGGTTCCCTCTTCCACACGTTGACGAATTCGTAGAAAAATTGAAAGGATGTAGGTACTTTACAAGTCTGGACCTGGCCAGCGGATACCACCAATTGCAAATAGAAGCTTCTTCTGTTCCTAAAACGGCTTTTGTCACTCCAGACGGTCACTACGAATTCCTCAGGGTTCCATTTGGATTGTGTAACGCACCAGCTGTGTTCCAAAGAACTATAAACAAGGTTTTGGGGAATTTGCGTTACGGGAAGGCGCTAGCTTATATGGACGACATATTGCTGCCGACAGAAGATATCGAAAGTGGCATGGCTAATCTAAGACTGGTCTTACAGTCACTTCGCACTGCTGGACTTACTTTACGCCCGGCCAAGTGCCAGTTTTTTATGGAAAAAGTTGAATACTTAGGACATGAGATTAGTGGCCAAGGCATACGACCAGGGAAAGCAAAGACAGTCGCAGTCGAGAATTTCCCAACGCCGACTGATGTACGCGGTGTCAGACAGTTTCTTGGCTTGGCTAGTTATTTCAGAAAGTATGTTAGAGATTTCGCTAAAATCGCTAAACCGCTAACAATCCTAACAAAAAAGGACACATGGGGTGACGAACAACGGATAGCTTTTGACGCCCTCAAAAAGTCATTAACATCACGACCTCTATTGGCGATTTACGACCCGCAATTGACGACGGAGGTTCACACTGACGCATCCAAATGGGGAATAGGTGGCATTCTATTACAAAGGCAAAGGGACGGTACTGTTCGACCAGTACTATATTATTCCAGACAGACTACGAAGGAAGAACAACGATACCACTCATACGAGTTAGAGACAATGGCAGTGGTGTATACATTGAAAGCATTTAGAATATATTTGATTGGTCTGAAATTTAAGGTTGTGACGGATTGTAGCGCGATTCGCGCCACTCTATCGAAGCGTGATTTGGTCCCTAGAATTGGAAGATGGTGGCTAAGCATCCAAGATTATACGTTTGACGTCGAATATCGTCCGGGACACAAAATGTCACACGCTGATGCTTTGAGCAGAAACCCTGTCGGTTTAGAAGTAACGATTGCAGGTGCCGTAAACATCAACGAAGATGATTGGGTTCTAACCGCTCAGATGTTGGACGATAGGTGCAAGTACCTTATCGAGACTCTGCAACGGAAGCCAGAGGATAAGGAAGAACGAGATATACATGCAAACTATCGTCTTATCAACAATAGACTGTATAAGATTACAAACAACGGGAATAAGTGGGTTGTGCCTAAGACGGCAAGACGAAACGTCGTCTCGCATTTCCATGACGAGAATGGCCACTTGGCAGATATGAAGACGATATCGGCCATATCGGCATCATACTGGTTTCCTGGAATGCGTAGATACGTCAAGAAGTATATATCGAGTTGCCTACCGTGCTTGTACAACAAAGACATGGGTGGGAAAAAGCCAGGCTACATGCACCCTATCGAGAAAATTGCGGTGCCCTTTGACACACTTCACGTTGATCATCTGGGCCCTTTTGTCAAGTCGAAACGAAAGAATGCATATTTAATAGTGCTTGTAGATGCTTTTACAAAGTTCGTGTTCATGAAGGCAGTCCCATCAACTAAGGCACGACTCGTGGTTAACTTCTTGAATAGCATGATAGACAATTTTGGTGTTCCTAGAAGAATCATCTCAGATCGAGGTAGCTGTTTTACTAGTAAGCAGTTCACGGAATACTGCAAGACTCTAAACATAAAGCATGTTTTGAACGCAACGGCAACCCCGAGAGCAAATGGTCAGGTTGAACGTTACAACCGCACGATATTAGCCTCACTGGCGTCATCTATGGAAGATGAACAAAGATGGGACGAAGCCGTCTCGGCAGTGCGATGGGGACTGAATTCTACGGCGAATTCGTCTACGGGAAAATCGCCATACGAGTTGCTGTTCGGATGCGCGCCAAGAAACACTGGTACTGCATTTCTGGCCAACGAAGTGGCAATTGAACCAGAGAATGCAGGAGACGTCCAAGCAATGAGAGCGAACGCAAAAGCTCGTATAGACGCCCATCAAAGCAAACGCAAAGCTTCCTTCGATGCACATCGACGTGCGGGGCGAACGTATAAGAAAGGTGAACAGGTTCTAGTGCGAACGATTGCTGCTAGTAACCAGGGCCAAAGCAAGAAGCTTCTGCCAAAGTATAGTGGGCCCTTTGTCATTACAGAAGTCCTGACACATGATCGCTATGTAGTCGAGGACATGACAGGTTCTTCTCGATCGCAGAGAAGCTACAGAGGAGTCGTTTCCCTCGATAAGCTAAAGCCCTACAACGTGAGAGTTAGTTCAGAATCCGACGGAGAATCTGAGACTAGCCATGAGGGTTGTTCGTCATAAGGTCAGCTAGTGGAATTCTAAGATCACTACGTTGCTGTCTTAGTATCCCCTAGCAACAGGTTATGTTATTATAAGTCTAGAATAAGTTATATAGGGTTACTAACTCGGGAATAGTTGAGGCGAGATTTAGCCTAATTTGTTTGTTAACTGGTCCCTCTTCTTTTAGGGCAACTCGCTCCACGGGGACGCGGAGGCTGGTAGCGTAGCCGACTGTTACCGCTGCCGCCACGTGGCCGCCACTGGACCGGCCCCCGTGATGCTGGCGCCGCTGGCGTGGACCGGCGCAGAGAGAAGAGGAACAGCTGAGCGGAACGACGTAAAAAAAATATGGCGTACCAGTGGTGCCTTGTATAACTTTTGTAATTCGGACACTTTTCTTTGAAATATATTATAGTTGGAAAAACGGAAATTCGAAAAATCGAGATATGAAAAAGCGAAAAGCAAATAAATTGGAAAATCGAAAAATTGGAGAATGGAAAAATTGAAAAGTCGAAAGTTCGAAAATTGAAAAGTCTCAAGACATTAAGAATTTGAAAAATCCAAGGATTAAAAAATTGAACAGTGGCGAAATCGAAAAGTAGGTAAATTGAAAATTCGAATATTGAAGTGCAGGAAAAACGAAATATCGAAAGTCGAAAATTCTGAGAGCGAAATATCGGAATGTCGAAAAATTGAAAAATCGAGAAATGAAACGGCGAAAAGCAGACCAACTGAATAATAGAAAATTGAAAACTGAAAAGTAAAAAAGTGAAAAATCGGAAAACTCGAGCTTCGGAAATCCAAAACTCGAGAAATCAAAAAATTCTAGTATGAAAAAACTGAAAAATCGAAAATTCGAAAAATCAAACATTGAAAACTCGAAACGTCAAAAATTTGAAAAATCCAAGAATTAAAAGAAGGTAAATTGAAAAAACGAAATATCGAAAGTCTAAAATTCTAAAAACAAAATACCTGAAAGTCAAAAAATTTGAAAAATTGGAAAACTGAAAAACGAAAAAATTGAAATGCAGAAATAAACAAAATATCGAAAATTCTAAAAGCGAAAAATCGGAAAGTCGAAAAGTAAAAAAATCGTAAAACAAGAATGGAAAAATTGAAAATTCTAGAAAAGTAAAAAATTAAAGCCTAAAAAACGAATAATGTAAAATTTGAAAAATCGAAAATCGAAAATTCGAGAAATGAAAAAATCGAAAAGTAAAAAATTAAAAAGTCTAAAACTGTAAAATCTAAAATTCGAAGTATTGAAAATTTGGAAAATCGAAGAATTAAAAAATTTAAAAATCGAAAATTCGAAAAATTAAAAAGCGGAAACTCGAAGCATCAAAAATTTGAAAAATCCAAGAATTAAAAGAAGGTAAATTGAAAAAACGAAATATTGAATCTCGAAAATTCTAAAAACAAAATATCGGAAAGTCGAAAAATTGAAATGCAAAAAAAATATATATGGAAAATTGAAAATTTTAAAAACAAAATATCGGAAAGTCGAAAAATTGGAAAATTGAAGAATGAATAAATTTAAATGCAAAAAAAAACAAAACGTCAAAAGTCAAAAATTCTAAAAACGAAAAATCGGGAAGTCGAAAAATTGAAAATCGAATAGTAAAAAATTGAAAATTCTAGAAAAGTAAAAAAATTCAAAGCCTAAAAAACGGATAATGTAAAAGTTGAAAAACCGAAAATTAAAGCATCGAAAATCGAAAACTCGAAAAATTAAAAAATCGAAGATTAAAAGAATTAAAAAGTGTAAACCTGTAGAATGGAAAAACTGAAAAATCTAAAATTCGAATGATCGAAAATTTGAAAAATCGAAAATCCGAAAAATAATAATAAGTCAAAATAAATCAACAATCGAAGAGTATCGAAAAACAAAAAATCGAAGACTGGAAAAATTAAAAATCGAAAAGTAAAAAAAGAGATTAGCCAAGATGGATGCCAATAGTAGTAGTCAGTCCGGTACGTCTGCACAAATCTGCAGAAAATGTAAATCAAAAGTTGTCAGTGCATTAAAATGTATATCGTGTGATAATGTGTACCACCTTAGTTGTGCCAAGGGTGTATCTTATGTAAAAATTTTGGACAGTAAGTCTTTAGTTTGCTGTGATAAAGTGAAAATGCCTCCTGTTGTGTGCGAAGATTCTGAGTTTTTTGAAGCAATGGAACAAATGAGTGGTCCTGAGAAAAAGGTTGATATTGCTGTTTTCAATTATATTATTAAACAAAAAGACGAAATTATAAAGGAGCTAAGGGATCGTGTAAAAACGCAAAGTGAGATGATAGACATTTTGATAAAAAGTTCGAACAACTTGGGAGGCTCCACTGATTGTAGTTTATCATCAATGGACGCTTTTTCGAGTAAGATTATGAATAAAAACGTGAATGGTGTGGAAGCAAGAAAAGTGGTAAACAAAAGTGAACCTGAAATACGGAACACTATTATTTATCCTAATACGAATTTATGTAATGAAGTTGATCTAAATAATTCTTCAGACAATGGTAAAAATCCTTCTGAGAAGGAGGTAACAGCTGATACTTTAAAACGTCGGCCGAAAGTAAGCAAGTTAATTATTGGCTCAGCAGATATAGCTTCTAGTTCAGGTTCGTCAGATTTGTCATCGAGTGATCATGATTTCGTAGCTGTCACCAGAAAAAAAAGCAGTCACATACATATTACAAGAGTAAACCCTAATGTTGATGTGAACAAGATTACTGATTATATTAAATTTAAGTTAAAATCCCATGAAGAAGTGCTGAAAAATAAACGTCTTCCTGACTTTAAGCTTATTAAATTGGACTCTAAATTTCCTGAGTTATATAGTTCTTTCAAACTTACTATCGATTTTGTATATCAAAATGATATTCTGGCTGCATCTTTTTGGCCCAAGGGTGTAGCGGTAAGGAAGTTTTTTCAATCGAAATCCATACATTTACAGCATAACACATAATTACAGAGCGTCAGAATTTTGTTCTACTCTTTTTTATAATGAGCTATCCTTACTGTTCTATTTTTTTTCTTGATGTTTAGATATATTTTGCAGGCATACGTTGTATTTAATTATTTATTTGTAAGATAGACTACTATTTACTTTTGTTTTGTATTCTGTAATTGGAGATTAATCTCTGTTGAGTACAATAAATTATTATTATTATTATTATTAAAAAGTGAAAGTCGAAAATTCTAAGAGCGAAATATCGGAAAGTTGAAAAATTGAAAAATCGAGAAATGAAACGGCGAAAAGCAGACAAACTGAAGAATGGAAAATTGAAAATTGAAAATTAAAAATGTGAAAAATCGGAAAACTCGAGTTTCGGAAATCCAAAACGCGGGAAATAAAAAAAATCGAAAATTAAAAAAATTAAAAAGTCTAAAAATTGTAGGATGAAAAAACTGCAAAATCGAAAATTCGAAAACTCGAAACATCAAAAATTTGAAAAATCCAAGAATTAAAAGAAGGTAATAAATTGAAAAACCGAAATATCGAAAGTCGAAAATTCTAAAAACAAAATATCTGAAAGTCGAAAAACTGAAAAATTTGAAAACTGAAGAATGAAAAAATTGAAATGCAGAAAAAATAAAATATCGAAAGTCGAAAATTCTAAAAGCGAAAAATTGGAAAGTCGAAAAATTGAAAATCGGAAAGTAAAAAAATCGTAAAATTCAAGAATAGAAAAATTGAAAATTCTAGAAAAGTAAAAAATCAAAGCCCAAAAAACAAAACACCGGAAAATCTAAAAATTGGAAAATTTAAGAATGGAAAAATTGAAATGCAAAAAATATCGAAATTTGAAAATTCTAAAAACAAAATATCGGAAAGTTGAAAATTAAAAAAAAAAAAACAAAATATCTGAAAGTCGAAAAATTGAAAAATTGGAAAACTGAAGAATGAAAAAAATAAAATGCAGAAAAAACAAAATATCGAATATTGAAATGCAGAAAAAAAAACGAAATAACGAGTCTAAAACTGTAGAAAGAAAAAACTGAAAAATCTAAAATTCAAATTATTGAAAATTTGAAATATTGAAAATTCTAAAAATTAAAAATCGAAAACTCGAAACACGAAAAATTTGAAAAATCCAAAAATTAAAAGAAAGTAAATTAAAAAACGAAATATCGAAAGTCGAAAATTCTAAAAACAGAATATCGGAAAATATAAAAATTGAAAAATTGGAAAACTTAAGAATGGAAAAATTGAAAAGCAACAAAAATATCGAAAGTTGAACATTCTAAAAACAAAATATCGGAAAGTCGAAAAACTGAAGAATGGAAAAATTGAAATGTAAAAAAACAAAATATCGAAAGTAAAAATTTTAAAAGCGAAAAATCGGGAAGCCGAAAAATTGAAAAATCGAGAAATGAAACAGCGAAAAGCAGAACAATTGAAAAACTGAACAATGGAAAAATTGAAAATTCTAGAAAAGTAAAAACATTCAAAGCCTAAAAAACGAATAATGTAAAACTTGAAAAATCGAAAATTAGAGCATCGAAAATCGAAAACTGGAGAAATCAAAAAATCGAAGAGTAAAAAAAATAAAAAGTCTAAAACTGTAGAATGGAAAAACTGAAAAATCTAAAATTCGAAATATCGACAATTTGAAAAATCGAGAAGGTAAATTGAAAATTCGAATATTGAAATGTAGAAAAAACGAAATATCGAAAGCTGAAAAGTCGAAGATTCTAAAGGCGAAAATTCGAAAAACTGACAAATCGAGAAATCAAAATTAACAACTGAAAATTTGAAACTTGAAAATTCGATGAATTCGAAAAATCAAAAATTGAAAAAACCAAAATGTAAAGTCAAAATACTGAAAAATCGAGAAATTGGGAAAGCGAAAAGTAAAAAATGAAAACTCGAATTGCGAAAAATGAACAAATTGAAAATCAAAAATCCGAACATCGGAAATTCCAAAGATTACGTATATTTGATTTTTTCAAAAAAAAAGCGAACCTCTAGGGTAAAAACTCAAGACGAATCCATAAATCATACGTGCAGGAGTATGTAATTAAAATGTTGATTAACGATTTACTATCGTTCCGATAACCTTAAAACAAGTTTCAAAGCATTCTGTTTTGCTGTTTCACAGTTGAATAAAAAAAATGTTACAAAATTTCGATCTTTTCCAAAAATGTGGATGTTTAGGCTAAACACTCAATACGGGATTCATAAACCATAGGAGCAGGAGTATCTTATTTTATAAGTTAATTTAAGTGACATTCACTAAATACGTTTTGGAGATGACGTCATCGTATTGTTGCGTATTGCGTACACATAAAATTTCAGAACAATTGGTCCAGTAGTTTCGAAAAAACTGGACGACCGAAACGGGAGACTTATTTTTTCGTACTCTCGGAGAACGTACGTCGAGAAATCATAAAAGTAGCCAGTGGCCCGATAAGCTCGATTAAAATACTTTCTTAGCTTACGATTAGGAAGTAAAAACGTAAAAGATGCGTTATCCGAAAGAATTTTGTGTTGATCAATAATCAACCATCCAAGAAACGAAAAAAATCTTTGTGACGGTTGGAAGATTTCAGGAAGACTGAATTTAGTACACTTTTAAACAGCTTAGACGGCCAAACTAAGACTACATTAACCAAGTTTCATAAGTCTTTTATAAATCGACACTTTTTGCCGAAACTCATCAAAGTTATAAAACATCTACTTCAGAGTAAGCACAACTTTATGAAATTAGACATAATTTT